TGGGAGTAACCCTGCGATAGATTAGCATCCCATCCAGGGGGTAATAGAAATACTTCTGTGGTCGCTTCATGCTACAGAAACAGGGATAAGCACCGGCGTGATGGGCCACTTGGCTCCTATGCAAACTTAACCTTTACCATGCCCAAGACAATTGTGGCGGATCACCGCTGAGTTTTGATATACAGAAAACATATACCGGATGGATTGGTCGCTTCAGATACTAGCCCGGCTAATTGGACTGCTCATCTCGTCCCCATTTCCTTCGTTATAATTTGTATATGTTCATACGAGAAGACGGTAACAGAGATCTCGGTTTTTGCGACCGCGATCTAGATCATTTTCAGCCCGGAAAAGATGCCTTCACTCTCTCATTAAAGAAGAGGCCCCTTCCTTATGGCGTCGCTTTGTCTTATTTCACGATGTTCTTCACAGAATTAGTAGTCTTTTGTCTTCCGCAGTTAAGTTTGTTACACGAGTTGGCCAGGCTAAGACAGACATGTAAGATAGAACTGTACGTGGCGCCTCCTTGGTTTTCTCTTTTGCACTTCGCGGTAACCGGGCTGAAAATTTCCATACGTATAGATGACAAGCTTCGTCCCGTTACGTGCTCGCCCGGCCGGTTTTTCAGCTCATATGAACGGGCCAGTCGGTCTTAAGGTTACCTTGTAAGGAGTAACATTCAACTCAGATTAATTGGTTCAAGGCATTTAAATAGATGACGCCATCACATGACCTTTTCCTTCAAATTTCCATTCATCTCGCACATTTTGTTTTCATTCCAAGTTGTTACCGACTATAACCGTTGCCCAAAATGCTTTTTTTTTGTTTAGTGATTAAAACTGAAGATGATAAGGTTTCATCTATGATGTGAATGAAAAACTTCGTTCTCTTATACCAGATACTGGACTTAACGTGCCTTTATGGAGTATTCTGACGAACACTTGAACTTCTTCCGAATATGCGACATTACAGCTAACATTATCACAGAGGGGCTTAGGACAGTCTTCAAACAAGAGTGGGATAAGAGATACATGGGCTCTTTGGGAGAATGGGAGGACACTTTGAAGAATGGAAAAGACTTTGAGAGACAAGAACCACCAGCAAGTCAAAAGAAAAATGCGAGGTTGCTAAATATCATGAAAAATGGTAACCGCAAGGAATGGGACTGTACAGCGCTTTTTTTTGGAATTCTTTTCTCCACTAGTATTGGGACGTCTCTCAGTCCTACAATACACAGCCACGTGGACGACCTTAGAGTTTTCCGTAATGAAATTTTTGCTCATGTCTCCAAGGGCACTATCTCTGAAATCGATTTCAAATCTTTGATTGGAAGAGTAGAAGCAGCGTTTATGGCGTTAAGTCTTCCTGTCGGGGATATCAAAGCAATTGCCAATCAGAAGAGCTTCCCTATAAAGGAATCGAGGCTTCTTAAGGATCAACTAGTCAAAGAGCAAGAAGAAGTTAGAGCCTGGCAAGAAAAGTCAACTGCTCTCGAGGAGGAACTTAAATCCAATCCCAAGACGTTCCTAGGCAACCTTCCTACGAAACCCTCTCATGCAATCCAGCAACGCCTCTGTGAAGTGTCGATGATCCTCAAACAAATGGAAGAACTCAAGAAGAGCAGCGATGGAGAAATCACCACAACATATCTGTCGGGTAATCCTGGCTGTGGCAAGAGCCAGATTGCAAGAATGGTCGGGGAAGCACTTTACAAACAGGTTTCCCACAGTGATCTTGTTTTTGTTGCCACTTTAAATGCCGAGACCCTGGAGTCGTTATTCAATTCATATGACAGCCTGAGTAGAGCCCTCGGTTGTACCGAATTTGCTGTTGCTGGAATAACGACATCAAAGGATTCCATTCAAGAAAAGTTGGAGCAGTTTCAGAGATTAGTAACTCCGAAAATGAAAGAGTTTTCGACGTGGCTCCTCATAATTGACAATGTCGTTAACCTCGAAGCTGTTAGACGATTCTGGCCAACTTGTGGATGTAAAGAGTACGGCAATGGGCAAATCCTTGTTACAACCCAAGACAGTAGCACCATTCCTGACAATGGATCTCGTAGTCACTGCATCTCTCTTTGCAGAGGCATGGATCCTGATGATGCTGTAAGTCTTCTTACAAACGTCTCGCAGATGCCAAATCAAGCAAACGTGCAAGATGTTGCCAAAGCCTTAGATTACCAGCCTCTGGCACTGGCTTGTGCCGCTTGGTACGTTTATAGTGTGCGTTCCCGTGGATCATCTCACTTCAACTGGGTGACATATCTGGATAAATTAAACCGTGGAAAGGAAGAGACTATGGGCGAGATCAAGAAGAAATCCGACAGTGGCTACACAAAGTCAATGCCTGTTGCCGTGCGAATGGCTGTAGAAAGAGAGGTCGTTAATGAAGACGTTTTATTTCATACATTTTAGTTCCTTTCTATCAGCGCTCCAGGACCGATTCCACTGGAAGTTGTCGTCAAATTCGTGCAAAGCGAAAGCCCGATTTGGACGAAGAGGATATCATCGGAAAGATAATGGAGTCAAGTCTAGTGCAGATTTCTTGCAAGAAAGACGGTGAACAGACTTTGTGGCTTCACCAAGTTTTGCATCGGATTATAAGAAGCAATAAGAAAGTCTGTATCCAACCAGGAAAGGAAATTGAAGTGATTTCAGCAGCACTCGGCCCTATTCAGAGTCTCACAGTGGATGGTAGGTCGACTTCAAAGATTTTCATTGAGCATTTGAACGCCTTCCTATCATATGTCATTTCGTTCCAACTCTCCAGCACCGACTTTTATACTCGTCTCATCGAAGCTACCCCTCTTGCCGACTTCTTTGAGTGCTTTGTTTCTTGTGCGTCTATGTGCCTCAAATATGGGAAAATGTCAACCGTAAAGCAGTGCATACAAATAGCAGTTCGCGTAATTGAGGGAAGCGTCAGTGTCAACGAGAAAACATCGTCTCTTTTACTTTTCTTTTGTGGAAGTGCTCTGATTGACCTGAGCGAATATGTTCGTGCTATAGAGTACCTCAAGATGTCACTGGAGATGAGGCGTCGGATTTATGGAAATAGGCACAAAGCTGTGGCAGAATGTTTACGTCATTTAGGGCGTGTGAGCTTTAATTTCTCGCGCAA